TTAGTATATAATAATCAATGAGTTATAATAACTATTTTATGGGGATTTTTTAAAAGTTGCTTTAAATTCACTTCAAAATATTAAGGGAAACAACCTACAATAATTACTTGAATTTTCTAGTTTGTTTTCTTTCTCTTTCGTCTACAAAAGCAACCCTGAAACCACATCTGGAAGTCCCAACTCCTGAAAAATAAATTTTACCAGTAGCATTTTTGTAAGAAAAGCTACATAAATGAAGGATTTTTTTAAGGTCACTTCCAGTTATCTTTCAATGTTTTAATCCATACCAAGGAAACAGAACAAAGCAAGAGAGATACTTGCACCTGGCATTAAGCAACAAGACTCAGTGTTCACAGATTTTGACAACTGTCCAAGTCTACAACCAGGCTGAGAGGCTATGGCACACTCAGAAATGAAATGGTTAATAAAACTTAAACACTGATCCTTTTCCAGGCATGTTCAAAAAGCAAAAAAAAAAAAAAAAAAAAGCCGCAAAAGTAAAGTGAAGTTCTGAACTAATTTTACTTCTCCTACAGCATGCCAGGAAGTGTATTACATGCCACTGGCGAGATACCAAACCTGTGACTCCGGGGGGATGACTGAAGGAATCCTCACAATTCTACATCTTGGAAATAAAATCTGTGCTAGAAGGAAAAGCTCTGTAACACATGCCATCTGGTAGTACCCTTTGCCTTCTTTTTATGAACAGGGAGAGAAGAGAAAGGCTGCTTCCTCATGTACAGACCAAGACTCAGTGGGCCAAAACCAGCTTGTGGTAAGAGCAGCAGAAACAGCAACTCAGCAGGTGCTGTTCTCTCCCTGCTGCATCTCTGCAGAACAGGGCATTTCCGTAAGTCTCAGTATCAATCTCAGTTATCTCCGATTCATATCGGGAAGTTTTTTATAGTAAGTGGGAGTGTCATTTGGCCCATTAATTGTGGGAGAATAGCACCTAATTGCATTGTAAATGCAAATGGATATGCTGAAGCCACTATACTGCACTGAACTCAGCTCACAACTATTGCATATGTCCTTTAACATATAATTTGTAATGTGTCTCAAGCAAAACCCAAAACTATGCTCAAAATTTAAAATCAACTATTTTATTTAACTGTAAAAGAAATAAATAAAAGCTTAACTGAAATCAACATTATATCATATTCTGAGAATACGAATGAGAAGAAATTACTGCTTCAGGATTAGATTACCAAAAGGATAGTTCAGTAATTCTTTGAGAAACACTTTCTTTAAGTAGCAGAGAAAAATTCAAATACAGGTAAGATTCATATCCAGACAGGTAAAGAACTGTCCTACCATTCATTCCCAGTGCCCCAATAAACTGTTCTAAATCTTCTTTATCCTGCTAGGAGTTAAAGTAGAAATGGCTATGAGCCAGTGTGAGTTAGCCCCAAGGAAATTCCTGCAGAGTAGCAGGAGGCATATTGGGGACTGGCAGGAGCATTTCTGCATTCCAGCTCTCTCCAGTGGCTGGAATGACCCAGTGGGGCCAACTGCAGCCACATTTCAGTTTGGGCAACACCCAGGCTGCTCTAACCTGGGGAATGGGCTGAAGTACCTCATCTGGCTGAGGAAACAGGCACTGAAGGGATACAAAGCTCCTTTCCATGTATATGAACTCTGCACTGATAGAGTGATTTATTTGGGTCATCCATTAAACTCTTGTAGGACTTGTCCCATATAAGTTAAAGTTAGTGTTCAAATCTCACAAGACAAAGAACATGGTAGGAAATCACCAGCATAATAAAAATAAATTTATACTGTAAGACATTGCAATACTATTGTAACAGTTTGTTCCACAATAAGGCAGTAAAAGCTATTAAACAAACAGTGCTTATTTATTTTATGTAATATAAGCAGTTTGTATCGTATCTGGGGTCTATTTTCCTCTGAGTGCAAATATTTAACTCCCATTAATGTTAACAAGAGGTTACCTAGCATGTACTTTGGCAAGAGAATAAAACATGAATTTTAACATTAATCTTAAGCAAGCTTTTAACTTAAAAGAATCTTGCGAGTACCTTGTATTAACACTATCTTAATTGCCTTGAAATCTGAAGTTTGCGAGAAGCATATACACAGATAAAACTAACTTGTATTAACTTTAAATTGCACATTTTGGGATAATGGGAAATAACTGTGCCACCTTTCTGTAAACTGCATAGCTTGCACTGTGAAGGCACTGTTAGCAGAGACAATGATAACATCTTTAAAGAATTCTCTCCATTTCAAATAACATTTTTTCCCTTTTCTCCTTAGCAGAAAATTAACTCACACTATTCTTTGCAGTAAGAATAGTGGGGGAAATTCCTACTGCATTTTCTAATGAAACAACATTTTGGGATTCTCTACAGTTTGGGGAATCTCCTTGTCCACAATCACACTCTCAGTGAGGACAGTGAAGTAGCATAGATACATAGCACAAGTAGAATCTGGCCCTTTTCATTTTGTGAAACTGCTTTGATCATGATTCTCTCAAGACATTATTTTAAACTCGAATGCAATTGACCGCTATTGCACCATATGTTCCTTATGTGTGAGCTCTGTCTTGTTCATTAATTTTTATGCCACTACTGTTGGACTTCAGCCAGTGTAATGTGGAGGCAATTAGCAATGTCAGAGTGTTCATGCCAGCATATAATGAAAGAGAGGGAAAGAGAGAAATGGGGAGATATGCTTCCTGCTACAGGCAAGGGTACTTCTCAGAGGTTTTTTAAAAATGTTATTTGAAAATGAAAATATCTAATAAAAGCAAGTGACAAGAAATAAAAGTCTTGTTACAGAAGTAAAATTTACTCACTAATAAAAACTCTCCTACAACTTTTTAATACGTTCACCTATTTTCAGAAGATGAAACTGAAGATGCCCTGTGGCCTGATGACCTTGTCTTTTAATCTTACAAACACTGTGGTTGCTAAAGGTCTGTATCAAAATGTTCAATGTTAGCTTGCAAAAAAAGATGCATGCATATACTAGAACAGAAGAGTGCATTAAATAATGTGTTCCAATGACATGACCAAATCTGTGGCTTCTTGTTTTCTTACAAAACCCCTTCTACTGCAAATCTTGCAATCTGAGATTTATTCCATTTGCCGTTCTTGTTGCTATTTGTGTTCTCCAAATTTAAAAGATAAAAAGTATGACATATGTCTGAAGTTCCAGGGAGTACTGGGGACCTTGCTAAAGTGGCCACCTCTTCCCATTCTCAGTGTCACACACACAGACACCCCCAACATTCCTCCCAGTGGGCCAGTTTCAGAATACAGTTTTTGTCTGATCTCTGAATACAAATGCAGCTAACAAAAACTCTGCAGTATCAGAAATCTTGGGCCCATACATCCAGAAGGAGGACTCCACTAGAATTCTCTCTCACAGTATCTTACCATTAAACTCCATATTATTCTCCCATGAAATCAAAGATAAAAGCACTATATACACAGAAGTCTCTTTATAGTGCAAAACTTGATGGAAATTTGTTGTTCTTGTGTAAACATCTACATTTTTGTATATATTTACAAAATAGATAAGTAGAAAACCTGACTAATCAGGAGAATGCTCAAATCTAGATCCATAATCTCCAAGGTTCCTTCCACCTCACATTGTGATTCAGACCCAGGCTTGGCTTTTACAGTCCATTAAGAAGACAGACAACTTTGAAGTTCGCTAGGGACATGGTTCTCAGTTCCACAGCGTTTAATGGTTTAATTACCTATTTGCATGTGAAGTCATTAAGCAGCTCCGTACTAATATGGTTATTAAGAGATATGTCCCACTGCAATAATTTAAAAAACAGTTACAGTAGCATGGTGCTGCCTGTGGTAAGGGTCTTGTGACTTAGTGGCAGCCTTTCACTTTTGAAAGCTTGGCAACTGTATAAAGGTAGTTTGACTAATCCACCTTAATTCATCCCAGATATTTACCCTCATCACAAAAATCACAGCATCTGGCCAGCTTCGTCGCTTACAGCCATCTTTACAGAACCCCATTCAGAGTTTTGCAAAGGCTTTGCTACCCTGAATTAAGACACATAAAGAGCCTACTCCAAAGCCCATGGAGGTCCAAGTCACGGCTTATTGGGCTCAGAAGACATTTATGCAGTTTGGCAGCATGGCCTGCCTAGGATCCAGCTACTGTCATTTGTTCAAACTTCATGGGCAATAGAATTCTGTAATTTAGAATTACAGAAACTTTTCAGTAAGTTTCTAAAGCAGGTCACAGAAGTAACAAAAACTTTCTAAACTGCAAGAGTTTTAGTGGAACTTAGTCTAAACCAAATGTTTTAGCACCATGACATCAGACAGCCTTATTGAAAAGTTGGAATTAATCACTTAGCTTGAATGGAAGTTTTGTTTTGAAAGCCCCTTCCCCCCCCCTCCCCCCCCCAGTTAATATGGGGTTTTATCTTATATATTATATTTAATTCTGAGAAATAATTGTGGCAGAAACCTAAAAAAAATTCCAGAAAGGAAAGATTTCTGTAGCTTAGCAGCTTCTCTGTACCTGTTGTGTCTTCTTAGCTATTTAGAAGAAGAGCAAGCCCCATCTTTATATCAGCAACAAACAAAATTAGATCTACTCATTACTAAGCACTTATCAATTCTACTACTAAGGGGATAAAACTATGTGCTATCACAAGTTCAATGAAGTCAACTAAATTATCAAAGCACTATAGTTCAGCTAACAGGAGTGAGCAAAGCAGTGACATTTGAAAAGTATATTCTTATCTTACTTCCATGTTATTTACAGCAATAATACAGGAGAGTTTAATTTTTATTGAATGTTAAGAATAGAAAAGGAAGGGGAAAGCTTAGAGAGCGGTCATGAGGCAACTGGATTAAGAAACAAACCCAAGCACTATTGAATAGCCTGGTAATTCTTCAGTCAAATGTTATTAGAACAATTCATGGAGTCCCTATACTGCAAACTGATCCAGCTATTTCAGTTTCATCTGCTAAGATTTTTTAAGAAGTTGGTATACTTACATGTTGCATGCAAGACCAATTTAGACAAAAAAACTTTTATAGCTTCACAGAAATCTCACATTAGTAGCTAGATTTAACTCATATTAGCCAATGTGTCTCTCAGGCATGTCCACCACAGTTTTAACAAGGTGCCCTCCAAGATGAACATCAGCAAACTGCTCACTAAGGCTGTGCAGTTGTGTGCCTGTGGCTTTCCCTCCCTGCACTCACTGCCAAAGCCCTCCTCCCATCAGTGTTCCTAATGTGCTCAGACACCCAGGATGCAGGGAGAGGCTGTACATTCAGCACATGGCATGACAGAAATGCCAGCTACAGTCACAAACTTGCCCCAACCAATTCTGTTTCTGATACAAATTGTGCAGCAGACGCAGAGTTGGCAGAAGGGAGTTTCATAAGGAAATGGCAACAAGGACAGCAGAATTTTTATTTCTGAAGCAAATCTCTATTTCCTCCTGCCTTTGTGAATTCTTTGGCTTTGGAAAGAGTACTAGGCACAGTATGAAAGACACTCCAGTTTTTCTGCTTCAAAATCTAAGGAATGTGCTGCATGCTGCGAAACTGCAAGTGAGCAGAAACAGTGCAAAGCATCTCTGTTTCTGTGGAGACCCAGGCACAGATAACATTTGGTTGCTGAAAAGACACCTCCTCATATGTAATGTATAATCCTCCCAAAACATGCATACAACGTGACCCTGGCACTTAGTTGGGACAGCAGTGTCTTCCCAAGCTTATTCTGATGGGTATTTGATACTTAACTGAGGATTCCTTCCTAGCTGTAGATTTGTCAGCAGGGGCTCCTTTGTCCGCGCTGAGAGCCCAACTAAGACAGGCACAACAGGTACAGGGTATCTGTTCAGACAGGCTGCCTGAATTCCAACCACTTCTTCCCTGCTGGATTTCATGGATCAAGCCCTCAGTAGCACTGGACACTGCCAGCAGCACACTGAGCAGTGCAGGTATGTTCCAGAGCTACTGCCTACGAATCGCTGCTATGGAAACTACCATGCCTTCCAAATCTATACTCAGGATGCCTTTTCAAGCTTTCCCCCTCAAAGCAAAGACCAGAAGGACACCCAATTCAGAATATGAGCTGAAATTCAGAGATAATCAATCAATTTCAAAAGAAGTACAAGGCACAAACAGATCTAGTTGCACCTTAATGTGATTCGCGGAAGCAGCTGGCAGAAGAAAAGAAATCCAGAGGTCATCCTTTTGCCCACGGATTTCAGAGGAAGGAACTGTGGTATTTACCTTCTATCCTACTTCTGAAATTCATCTGCTATGCACTTCTGAGCACACCACCTAGAATTTCCATATTTTCCTTTTCTTATATAAAAAAATAATAGATATTACCTATCATCTGGCCCACTCATCAGGCTGGATTTATTTTTTGTGGAGAACTTGAGATCCCTTGGGATAAAGTGCTGTGTAGGTAAAAACTATTACACTCTGTTCTTGTAATAACTCCAGGACAGGTAAGGGAGTCAAACAGCAAGGCTGTCACACTAAACACAAAAACGGCTTTACAAGAAGTAAAATTTAAAATAATAAAATCTGGACATTCAGGAGAATTAAATAAGAGACCAGCTTGTAGTTTTCAAGTGCAGTCATCTGAGTCAGCTCTCTAAGGAGTGCCAAGGGCTAAATTCATCCCTGAGCTATGCTGGCTTCTGCCAATGTAAACCAGGACACGCGGCCTCTGCCAGCAAAGCAGGGAGAGGCAGCAGCAGTGGAAAGCACCCACTGCCTTCCTCTTTGTTGGGGGTCTAAATGCAGTGGCAGCAGCACTAGGAGAGGCCTGGCAAGGCAGGTTCACAGCTGTGGCAGCCCGAGGTGTCATGGTGTGCACGTGGGAACATCTTTTACTCTGGGCTCTGTTACAGAGGTTTAAGGAGATTTTAAAGCAGTCTTTGGCAGAGCCTACTGTAACCAAACCTCTTGCAAATCAAGGCAGGGGCTTATAAGGGAAGTGTCACTGACACAAAGAAGAGTAAAGCCTTCAGAGGAATGGGATTTTGTCCATCTTCAGATTCCTCTGTGTAGTTTGTATCAGTGGACAAGTTTGGCAGCCTGTGTTGCATAACACAACTTAATGTACAGTGAGATTGAGTCTGTGATTTAACTGGGAAGCAGCTGTATGACTCAGATGTTTTAAGGGAAAGGCAGAATACTGTGTACAGAAAACTGTCCTCATTCCCCCATGAACAAAGAGTGGCAAAAACACAGGCACCTCCACTATGCCAGCTGCAGTGTAGCAGTCCTCACTTGGCAAGATATAAAAAAGAAGATTAACAAGTATAATAGCATTTTACTGTGCTCTTTAGAGTGAAAAATCATTTGTATGTTACCACTACTGATGGTCCAAAACCACAATGCTGAAACTAAACAGAGAATACAGATTTGAACCTTCATCCAAACCCCACCCGCAGTTCTTTGTTAGATCCAAGACTGGAAGGTACCTATTTTCTCTCTTCTGAGAGGCTTGCGTTTTGCAAGGCCCCAAATTCATATGCTTCACAGCTGAAAACCTTGAGAGAATCTCAATTTTGATAGCCACAAACCAGACTTGCCAACCTAACTGGTAAGCACCAAACTAAGCCTCAACCCAAAGCATGCACCACTGCCCAGTCTCTCCCAGGCTGGAGCTTTGCCAGCAGATGAGGCCAGAGGCTGCCCAGGTATAGCTTACATTATGTGGATGGCTCCAAGTATAATCCAGGGGAATACACAAAGATTTGGCTTTCTGTAAAGGCTAAGTTGTGACTGAGTGTCTCATCTTGGTCCCCGTTGGAGCAGAGCCCAAAACCACCACACGCTTTGGCACTGTTTGTTGTACTTGGCAGTCCTCACTCAAGCTAGGTGGGTGCATTGGCAACACTTGTGAGGAACCCCTCCTCTTTAATTGGTGGGAATGTACCTGTAAGGCTGAGCTGTGTTTGGTAAGGCTAAGTGTTCCCGCAAGGGAAAACGACTCGAGACAATGCAGTTGGTGTTTAGAGTAACAAGACAGAGGATGACTGAGGCACTCTTTCATGTTACCTGGAGGGCCCTGTTAAGCTCTTACTGCTTTCTGTTGTTTCACCAAGAAACTGTGTCCCTTGCTTTAGTTAAAGGGAAAGCTGATGAAATAGTGTGACAGGCCAAAAGAGTTTTTCCCCAGTAACTGAGAGAGGCCTGGACTACAATTAGCTTCAGCCACTAGTTTGTTCCATGTCAGAGGTTAAAAAAAAACACAAGTAGAGTTTTTGTCTTGAACTGTCTAAAGGAAAGAAATTAAAAGTTACAACTGCTCCTCTTTTTAATTTATTAAAATAATTTCTTACAAAACATTACATAAAAATTAAACTTTGTTCTACTTCCAGGCTGCCTAGCACTTTGTTTTGTTTTTTTTTATGTAAAAAGAGTTGGTGACATTTCCTAAAGCTAGGAATACATTGCATGCATTGACTTGAGAGCTATTCATTCGACATGCGCAGGGTAAAAGGAGCTTCAATGGTGTTGCGATTTGATCAGCAGTAGGAGTGTTTTCTGCAGCTCCACGCCTTTGCATTACATGACAGAAGGCTGTATATCACTTCCTGCAAAAAATTAACGATGTCCAGAAGAACGTGACCTCTACTATCCATTCTAATGGAGGCTCAGACACCTCAAGACTGAAATTATTACAGAAGCAGAGAGCTGAAAAACCATCTCTCATATTCTATTCAGTAGAGGGCAGTGGCAGATAAAAGCCATGCACACTGATTATCCTGTGTGAAATCCTGTCTCCAAGCTGGTTGGCTGCCATGAATTTAATGGCAGCAAACACACCAGGCAGGCAGAAAGAAAATGGTGGATTCAGTGCTTCAGGTCACGATCCTTCACTCAACTGTCTCCCATCTCCCCCCCGCCCTCATCCTCTCCACCTTCTTTTTCCATTCTGCAATGAGTGTTATCATCAAGGCCAAATGCCTTCTACAAGGTGTTCCCCATGAAAAGCCAGCAGGAAATAAAAATGCTCAGAACCTTATGGGCTCAAGTTCTTAATGGCTCTAAATGAGGCTAAAATAAACACACGCACATGTGCATGCATGCACACACACACCCAGCACCTATTTGTCAGACCTTTTTACCAGACAAGGAGAACACAAGCTGGAAAAAGACTATTGCCTAGTGGCAAAGGCACTCAGAGACATGGGGGAGTGTGTTTTACCACAGTCCTTGCACTTAGCATATTAATCAATTCATTGTTATGGTTACAATTAAATACAAGTGCCAAAAAATACGGCAAGAATGTTACATTTTGCTCCATTACCTCACAATTACACATCCACAAACACTCATTTCTCAACCTATACAACTGAGTAAGAAAAAGAAGCATATATTCATCGTTAATAGCATGTGGTGTTGGACATTTAAATTTACACACATGAATATATATGAAAAACTGTATATATCCCAACTTTCCTAATCTAAAATACCTTACCTTGACCATCTTAAAGCATACAAGAAAAGAAGGAAAGCCCTGTTGTATAACGAAGATTTCAAGTTTGAATGTAAGACCAAAAAAACAGAGGCCAGTCAGGAACACTGGAAACAGGAATTCTGAAACAACTCTGTTTTCAGAGAGAAAAGTGCAGTTCCACTTCTTTTATTACAGGTTGGAAAAATTCTGCCACAATGAAGTGTATCTCTATGACTTACTACAATTATCTCAAACAGAAGTACTGTTGAATGACTGCAAGATGCACAGTGCTTGTATGTCTTTACATTCTTGTGTAAGCTGCTAAATGCTGATTGGCAAGAAATACTGACTCATTTTAAGAAATCCCCTGCACCATAACTGGTGGGGGAAAAAAAGGAAATTACTATTATATGGACAGACTGCCATAAATGCAAGTCACCGCAGCATTTCTGAAGATCAGTTTTACCTGCCTGGCTGCAGAGTGGACAAGAGAGGCAAGTGGCACTCGGGTCAGACTGCCAAGTGCTGTCCTGACAGGCTTTGCCTCAGCATGCCTGCACCTGCATCCCCTCCTGGGCTCCCTCTGGCCTACAGCCTTTGCAGAGACCTATCTGCAGCTGCCAGCCTTCCTAAC